CAAACTCTCAACATCAAAGATAGCATGAACTTCCCTGAGGTTGATAACTGGTTGATTTCATGTACAAAAGAAAACGTGTCGCGGACGTTGTATTCACGCGGGATATGTGACTCTAGAAGATTACAAAGGAACTTAGATAAATTGTAATTGTAGGTACCTATTGAAGATACTATGGGTCGAAAAGGAGGTGTTTCATTTGGCTGCCGAGCCCTGTGCATTTTAGGTAGCCCATAAAACCTGGTTGGTTGAGAACCAGTTGGATTGATTCTCTCATAGATATCTTTGTCTAAGTGGCCCTTATTTTTAAGCGCTCTTAAAAAACGTTGTAATTTACCCTCCCTTTGTAATGTTATCATTAACCTTAAACTTAGAAGTGTCACTGATAATGAAAAAATACCTTGTTAGTAGGCCATGACAACTAAGCCATTTCCTTTGTAAGGCTTCAGTATTACAATGTCCTTGTTCTTCCTCAAATCCTTCAGTATCCTACATTTCTTTAAGTCCGCTGCAGAAGGTTGGTGTGATGAAACGTACGAATGGGCCATTAGCAAAACGGATGTCTTTTCTTCTTTTGAGCTGATTAATCGCACTATGGTCAGAAATCTGCTCGACAGGAAGCTGAAAGGAAAAATGGTCGCAGACCTTTCTCATCTTGCCCATTCGTACGTTTCGCGCGCTTATGATTGGTCGTTCGATTTACAATTCAACTATATCTAAGAGCGTACTTTCTTTGGTGCCTGCAAGTTGCAACCAGTTCGTTGGGTTTGTTAAGCGTCGCCATTTGGGGACACGATATAATAAATTATTTCTCTTCGATACATGAATTGCATCTTTTGCTTAGATTTGAATACGTTCTAGCTTTTGCAAGGATCTTCCACGAGACTGCAAATTTTTCTTTCTTTTTTCTTTCAGTTCCCACAGGTACTTAGCTCAGTGTCATTACTCTTTTGTTCGTGTTTGAATGACATTTGGTGATTGCGCCATCGTGTTTTGAATTCTGAGGCTGTGAGAACCAGGCCACAGTCACCACATGTGAGAAGGAGACATATGTGGGCCTCACAACTACAGAATTCAAAACACGATGGCGTAATCACCAAATGTCATTTAAGTTTTGTGATAGATTAATGTTTTAAACTCAAATAATCAATACTTTGATCTGGAATGAAAAAGCGACAAACGGACGGGTAGTGAACGGGCACCCAGACATCAGGCCGGAGGGGAATCATAAGATACATCTTGCATAGAAAACTGTTCATAGTTACGTGGGTTTATTTCCAATTCTAAATCAAACAACTTACTCTACAAAACAGTTTTTGTCTGGCACACATTGCAGGTTGCATAGAAATCAAATCCTCGGAGAGGTGAGTATCTTACAATTCATGGACAACATTTGAACAATCAACTCTGAACTACAAGCTAGCGGCATTTATTCTTATATTCATAGAGTAATTGTACTGCAAGGTAATGAGGTTTACCTCCAATATCTTCACCGTTACAACCTAGCAATATCAATAATGTTGTAAAGCAAACAGCTGAATGACTTTCACGCCCATTATGGGAATAACTTTCTCTTGAATATGATCAATGCAGTGTAAATATTATTGTAAACACTAGCATGAAAGTGAATTCATAAACCTACAGTCTTGAAGACATAACTGATGTTTTCCTGTTAAATGAAATGCTATTAAAAGTTCTGTCAATGATTGATCTCTCTATTGTTTACATGGAAGTTTATGGGTCGATTCAAAGATATGTTCCTGATGTTATTTTGCGGTAAGGTAAGCAGATATCTGCATGTAGTAATTTTAATAACTAGGCTGGTTATTACGTTTCCTAGCTCATTTCTATTAATCTAAGATATTAACTCCTTGCTACTTATCTGCAAAAAGTGCTGTTGGGCAATGCAAACAACCAACATACCCAAACTCTGCCAAAAGATGCAGATTTCAAGAAGGAAAACCAAAGGGAGACGTCAGAACAAATGGTGGCAGCCATTGCAGAAACGTTGACTTCGAATTCTCGTCTCAGAATATTAGGCTTCTTCTCTTCGCCTGGGCCATAATTAAATAAAAGCGAGTCGTCTAATTTCGCTGCAAGCGGCGACCTAGCGATAAAATCAGTGTTTGTAAACATCGTTTACTCCGCCATATTGGAATTCTCAGGTGGGTTACCGCTGTACACCCGTTCCCCGTTCCCCGTTCCACTGGTTCCCCGTTCCTAGTTCCACCTCTGTGCCTGAGTTGAGTGGTTTTCTTCAACCTTTGTACCGCAAAAAAAAAAAAAAAAGGCTAGTACCTTAATTGGAACCTTACTGTTGAAGCTATCATAGTTCGGAGTATCCAGGAATACGGCATCTTAATTTTCATCGCATTCGATCAAAATCTAATGTTGCATATTCTTGATTGCATAGTATATTTGGTACTTAGTGCCTTCACCGACCTAGCTTCAGTATCAATAAACAAAATAGTTTGAGATGTTCATCACGATGTGATGTGATATGACAAGATCATATCGAGATGCTAAATCTGTACTTTTCCCTTTTTTTTACTTTCAGGATTGAAACATGAAATCAACTTGATGTTGACTTAATCACAACCTGAAGAAACAAAGTGTCATCCACAATGAAGCGTCTCGCATAAAGTTCCTCACGAGAAACGAACTTTCGAATACCCAATCCGATGTTCTCGTCTGTCACAGGCCTTGCAAAGCTCATACTTTCTTTCCCAAAGATCTCCAGAGTTTTGTTTTGCCGTTGGTCTAGATCCTCCTGTTGATCAATCAATGTGAACCTCACCTTCTCAGCTAAAGGCCAGGGTAATATTGCGTCATATTCTCCCTTCATCACAATAATGTAAACCGAAAGATGAGTATTTTTGCTATCACCATCGCCATTTGGACGAACACGTACTTTTAACTTGTAACCACAATTTTCTTTTCCAGTTTTTGTGTAGAATGGATCACTGCATATATTATTTTTGTCTTCATCGGTCTGTGCCCGTTTTAAAATCTCACTGAAACCGTCGATCCGCCAAAGGAAAGAGTTTGTATGCTTTACACTTAACAACTTTAGTTGCTTCACGGCCTCTTTCAACTCAGCTTTTGTCTCACTTGACTCAGCTTTTGTCTTAGTTAACTCAGCTTCTGTCTTACTTAACTCAGCTCTTGTCTTATTTAACTCAGCTTTTGTCTGATTTAACTCAGCTTTTATCTCATGTAACTTAGCTTTTGTGTCCTTTAACTCATCTTCCGTGTTATTATTGCTAGAATAAGTGAAATCAAGATGGACTCTTGTTGTTGATTCAAGATGAGACTCCATTTCCTGACGCTCGACCTACAGGAAAATGTAGTTCTTGTTAACTAATAATTTGTACGGATGATGAATTATTCTGAGCGCTTAACAGAGGATAGAGTTGTTTATGAGAACGGCATCGGAGCACATGGCCTTTTATTCAAACCAGTCGAATTCTTTTTTAACGCCACGAAAATATGAAGGGAAAGGTCACTTATTGCATGAGCGGCTCCGTAGGCGTGAAAAGTAAGCAAGCTGATTGGCTACAAGGGGGTGAAATGGGTCTATCCGTCTTTCCCTGACCTGCGGCTTTCTAATATAACTAGTATTCTGCAGAAAAAAAGGTGCGATGTACTGGTGTTGAAGTGAAATATGAGGTGTGATGTGGAAGAATTTATCTTACTCAAACGACGCGTTTTTAGCAATGTATTAACATCGTTCAGTCCGGGTCGTCAGTGACACAACGTCAATTACGTCCGGCGTTAGAAATACACTCTCTCCACAGAAAAAATCTGGATCCGCCCTCAAACCGGGAATGTCTGATTTCATACCGCAAAAGACACCGCAAAAGAATGAATTTCTTTTAGCCAGCTAATATACTTTTTAACTTCTGGGAAAATTATTCGTGACAAGAAAATAGTCTCTGGAGCATGTCGTAATGACAGTCGAAAAAAAATACAGCAAATAATAAAAGACGAATAATTTTTGCTTTCATTTTTCAATTCGCTGTTGCCAAGCTTCTCTCGTATAGTATAAATCATTCATTGACAGAGCGTGCCTTGTCTAGTATACATGCGCTATTGAACAAGTATGGAGTTAAGATCGTTGAATAATGGTCTAGTTATGTTTACGGTTTTCTAGAGTGGCAGATGTCTATAAAATTCTTGCACAAAAGACCAAATGAACATGCTACTTCTCTCTTGGCCTCTAGTTTAACTCCTTACCTTTTGTTTACAACCAACCCGTGCAAATGGGCAGGAAATGATTGTCCGCGGACATTCATCTTTAGTGTGAGTCGAAACCTGCATCACATCGGGTAAATGATCAAGTACTTAAGTGTAGGTATCTACTGTGGGTACTATACTGTTAAATAGTTACTTTTCATTATTGTTAAACGATACAGAGTATCCACCAACTGAGAATAAAGAATAGTGGCATGCAACACGATCTCTGTGCCTGAATGTCTACATTTGGGCGCGCGAAAAAACAGTGGATGTCAGGCAAAGTTCTCAAAGGGTTTCACGCTCACCTACTCTTTTGATCGTCACCTCGATTAGTCGAGAGTCTGGAACAGGCTAACAGAAAGGTGGAAATCAAACTTAATGAGAATCGCTTTAGCACTGTGTGTAGACTCAGAGAGATCGATACAGATGCCAACGTTTCGTAAATATTCAAAAATTGACCAATCATGGAGTATTCCAGGAGCTGATATACCAGAATGAAGTTTTCAAAAAAATTATTTTCTGCACTCCTTCCCTAGCCGTGTGCCTGGTGACTCTAACCAATGTTTTTCATTCTCTTTTCACGATTTCAATGACTGAGAGCGTAGCACCCCTAAGTCAAATCTGGGAAAGTGTGGGACGTTGCTTTGGAGGGAATATGAAAAAAATGAAGTTGATGAAGTGTGATCAAGCAACTTACAGACAGATGTTTTATATAATAAACACCTTTAGCTTGTATATAGAAAGGACAACTTTTAATGACTTGGAAGTGGGAAGTCTCACCATATCCCTTGAAATTGAACGACCACAGTTGTTAGGACAAGTCTCTGGAAACTTATTGCACTGTGTCATGTGTTCCTACAAAAAAAGAATCCACGAATCACAGACTGGGATGTGTAAATTGTATTTCACAATATATCCGGTTTTCTTTATCATAATCGTTTTCCAACTAGGACTCGGGGCTTTTAAAAGCTAACATATTTTTGTTTATACTCACTGAATCTTTGATTTTAATTGAGAGAAGATTGCCTAGAAAGGAGTGTATTACAGTGAGTCTGAAAATGTTGTAGAATGTATTGTTCGTGAATTCATAACTCTCACAATACTTACTTGCATTTTGCACGCTGGGTGGGGTTCAGAACAGTATGTGCATTGAAGAATTCTCCAGATACACGCAATATTTTCGTGTTGTTTAAGAAGTCTTCTTTGGATTTTTGTGTCACAGTTGTTGTTGGAGCACAGCACTTGATGAAAAGGACAAGATCTGAGGTGGACCTTTTCAACAGATGAAAGAATAACAAAGCATTTAAGGTTTGTTGGCTTAAAGTTATCTGTTGTTTCTCATAGCTAAGGATTATTAATCTTACTGACACTACGTCTATTCATTTCCGTATAGGAGCCACAGTAATTTAAAGGAAAGGTAAGCTGACGAGGGTGTTCATTCAGCAATATTAGATACGTGTTGGTTTTTACCTCCTTGTCCCTCAGTTCCCCAGTCCATTCACAGTCATCATTAGGACATCTGATTGTAAGGGAGAGAATCTTTCTTTCTGTTGCTTTATCGGGGAAAATGTCCTAAAACAAGATCATTACATTTTTATATACCTATGTTCCCAGCTTGCAACTAGGTCAAGTCTTAAAGTTTCAAGTGAAATACAGGCAAAAGTTGATGATGAGGAGCTTTGCTCTATTGAACAAGTAACTGGTTTTCTTCAAGAGATTATATACTGCATGGGGATAAATTCTCTCAGTTACAATCTCTTGTATTCTTTTAATCAGGGGCTACAAACATGGATACTTTGAAATCATGATATTCGAAAAAGAAATAATTACAAAAATATTTATGAAATATATTTACAAGTAAACTGATATATGATTAAATAAAAAAACTAAAAATACGTGAAAAATGTTTAATACCTGAAATAATTAAGCCATTCACGGGAAGACTCATTTAAGTATTCAAATTCAATTGAAAACAACCAATTGGCTAACTCGTCATTAAGTTTAAGAGGCAAAAAGGTTATTTACCTTGTCTGAGTCCAGATTCTGCCTGTCTGACGGACAAGTTGAGTATTGTCCTTGACTTCGCTGCCTATAATAAAAACTTAATAAGCATGAATATTTCTTTTAGTTCAGAAATCTTATTTCTGCAAGTTCAGAGAAGACAATATTTGATCTGGTTTCAACTTGAAGCAAATTAAAATGAGAGCACTCACTATTATAATGCTTTCTACCCCAAAATAATGGACTCTTTGGAGAAGATACTTCGGAAAACGGTCGCAGCGGGGAATGCGGATTGAGATATATTTTGCTAAGGACGCGTGGAAGAGAAAGCATATAGTTTGTGAAATGATTGAAACTAAAGCAACTCATTGTCATAAGATGAAATTGCATCATTTGAAAGTTTTCACGGCAGCCATTACCATCGCAACTGATGTATATGAACGTAACACAGATTTTTGTCTTCTTCTTTCTCAGTAGAACGACCCTTGCAGCATAATGTGGCACAGTGGATTGAATGAGCCAGTGAAGAATTATAACGAAAGGTGTTTATCATTTACTCATACCATCTAATATGCCCTTCAAGGCATTGTTTGCAGTATCTGTGGCCACATCTCGTAAGAACTGGTTCCTTTAGTGGTAGATGACATATCACGCACTGAAAATCTTCGTCAACTGCTCCCACAAAGTCCTCGTTGTGGCCCGAAGGAGGGCGGTATTCAGTCGATGCGGATTCCGCCATTTTGAAAAACCTATGAGCTACTATTTAGTAACGATGCAATATGCAAATATATGACTATTGTTTTAAAATATGTTACCTCTCACGAGAAAACGTTCCAAACGGTCAGCCGTTTTAAAACGGATAGCCGTTCACCAGCCGTTCATCGGCCGTTCGACTGGATTGGCATGCCGTTTGAACGACTCAAGCTATCCGTTCTTGAATATTCTTCATCCGTTCGAACCGTTCGAGCTATCCGTTTAAGAAACTTAATCATCCGTTCGAACGCCTCTAGCTATCCGCTCTTGAATATTCATAATCCGTTCGAACGCCTCCAGCTATCCGTTCTTGAATATGCATCATCCGTTCGAACGGTTCGAGCTATCCGTTCGAGAAAATTCATCAGCCGTTCACTTCGCACTTTGGCAACGATGGTAGAAACATTTTCGGTGTGATCGCAATCCATATCTTCTCTCGTTGAACTCTCCATTTTGTGATTGTGTGAGATGGCGGTAATTGACACAAGTTGTTAGCAGTTACCAAGGCAACTCATTTTTGATGGAGTGACAGGGAAGCTGGGATTATGAGAACTATGCTTTTCGCGTGCAAGTTCCTTGGTTGTACCTTATCTTAATCAGTCGAATTCAATGATAAAAATATTAATTATAATCCATTTGAATGCGCCGAAAGCGAAGTCGAGTTATTCAAACGATTGAGTTTCGACTCGTTTCAAGTTATCTTTTCACAGATTGTGTCAAATACCTCGCGTTACTTAACACCGCGTCACCCAACGCGTGACGCTTTCATGAAATAATCCTTCGCTTTGGCTCAAGACAAGAGCTTGGGACGCCTGTGTCGGCATTCGTTTTGACGAAACCATCTGTTCAAATAATTTCTACAGGCCATCACTTGTTCGACCGCTTAGCCGTTTATCCATTTGATCTCATCTGTGAGGCTCATCTCAGTGTTCGAAAAATTAGCCGTTCATCCCTTCGATAATTTTCATTAGCCGTTCATCCGTTCGACCTCATCCGTTCGAAAATTTTAATTAGCCGTTCATCCGTTCGACCTCATCCGTTCGAAAATTTTAATTAGCCGTTCATCC